AGCAAGAAGTGTTGACAACTTCTTCCTAAAAGTAATTTTTTAACATTTGATTCATTAAGCATTTTTTTAACCATTTCTTGCAAAGTTATGTTTTTTCCTTCAATAATTCAATTTGACTAAGGGGTTATGACAAACGCCATTTTCATCAAAAATTCATTGAATGTTGAACTAGCGAGTTCACCTCCATGGTCAATTCTTATTGGAATATGATTTGATCCTTTTTCATTTTGAAATTTCTTATAGAAATTTAGAAAAACGTTAAAGAATTCATATATTTTAGAAAGATAACCTACGTGAACTGAATAAATCATCTACTATGAAAAAACCATATTGTTTCCTCCAAAACTTATAGTTTTTCCAGAACCAAACAAATCAATGTGTGTTAGTTCAAAGGTTTTTTAGTAGAGATAATTCATTTCGCACGAAAGCTACTTTTGCTTTATTTCCTTTGGTGTATGCTTCACTCACATTGTCTGTGTCAAAAATGATATTTGGAAGTCCTCGTACTAGATCAAGTTTAGAGAGTTTTGAATTTGTTATCTTACTCATATGAGTAACATTTTTATTCCAAATCCGTTTGTCTTTATCCAGTGAATAATTTTCTGGTGGAAAGATGTTTCACTTCACATAAATTTAGTTTGAAGATTATTTTAAAGCAATCATCACATAATTAGATTATGTTAAGTAGATTGTGTTTTATACTTCAACGTACTTTAGATCTTCAATTTTTGTAGAGTTCATCTTACATATGATACTATACACATTGAGTACACTAATTGATAAATCTATCAGTTTAGACCAGTCAGAGTCACAAATATCCCTTTAGGTAAAAGTCTTACGGAAAAAATGTGTCTGTTTTTTTCTAGTAGATTGTCAATTATATACAGTCTCACAAACTCTGCTTCCATAAGACCAATTGATGGGTCATAAATATCTATGTCTCCTTGTCAGCCTGAGGTTAGTAAATAGGAATTGATTCCCCTGTCTTTCTATCTGGGGCCAACCGTTTATGTATGTTAATATGTCTTTGAGGCTTTATTTGTATGTTGAAGCATACTAGCAATCAATCTGATGCGTCAGTTTGGACCAACCTATTCAGCTTGGCCCATTTATGTTGATCCAAATCGGCCCTACCCCATGAGATTTCTTTAAACTGGGGTAGACTATCCTAAATCTGAGTTTAGAACCAACCCAAAATTTCAAACATGTACACGATCCCTTAAGCACGATGCTGGTAGGTGTGAGATAATTTATGTGAGAAACCAGAATGTATACAATCCCTTAAGCATGAGGCCTATAAGAGCGAGATGGTTTATTTGAGAAACCAATTTATACACAGTTCCTTAAGCTTGAGGCCTATAAGGACGAGATGGTTTATGTGAGGAACCAGATTGTACAAATACATTTAGCTTTGATATGACAATTTTCATTGCTTCCAAAAGTCCCAAATCGACTTTCTTTCTTCTTAAATAAGAACAAAATTTTTTTGTCACCTATCATGTGTCTTGAACAACCACTGTCCAAGTGCCATAACATTTTCTTTGATTTTGGAGATAATACTTGCATTTCAGTCAATCAATAATTTAGGTACATGTGCCGACTTGGGTCTTTGAAGGTCAATAATATTTGTCTAAAATACTCTTTTTAGAAAACATGGTAATATGGTGTGACCCTCTTTATTACAAAAAGATCATAAACTTCTAGCTTTTCTCATTTGTAAAGATTGTTCAGATTTGTTATCATTAGAGCATAAGCTAATTCTCATAGACTTATTTTTGTGATGATATGTTGGGGTCCATTTTTCTTAATACATGTAGAGAAACTGAGATATAAAAGTAACACGAAGTGTATACAAATAACAAGTAAGATACTTGGTAATTCATAGAGGGTGAAGCCCTTATATATAAAATAGATTGACTCATATATGCTATATGCAATTTCTACTACCACTATTATGACTGCAAAGATCGTCACTGGATAAGAATGCCTTTGGTATCATAATTAACTTTGAGATATGCGATGGAACCTATCTATTTTGAATATGTTTCACATATATTAGGATATTTAAAGCACATTAGTGTTTATAAATATCTGATTTGTAGGCATGATATTTTTTTTGGAAGTGGTCTAAGGGATGAATTGTCATGTTGTGTCATCCTTTTATTTTGGGATGAGCATTTTAGATCTGTTGAGACTTTAGACTTTGTTATTAGGTATGTTTTGTTCTATAAGAGATGAATTTCCTTAGTAGAAAAATCTATAATATGTTTGGGTTGAGCCTCTTTGGCCCGCACCATTAAAGACTAATAAACTAAGACAATAATTTACAAGTTTAGTGGTAACTAAAGGTTTTCAATCAAGGCTAAAATGAGTTTAAATTTGTCAAATTTAAAAGAGAAAAGTATTCCACTAAGCATATTACAAATGATTTTAGCTTTTCTCAAGTTTAAATAAATGATTACCATGCTTATAATATAGTGTTTCCTAAAGAAATTTAAATCTATGATTAATATAAATGATTATCTCGATATTCAAACTCCTTTCATGATATAAATACTATTTATTACAATGACAATTGAGTTTCTTACATCATCAAACTTAGACGTATATTCGCATTAGAAAATACTTAGGAGAACTTTTTGAACTTCAATATAAAAACCTAATAAAACGGTATTAATCCCTAATAACCCTAAAACCTTTCTAAAGGTTGTATATAAAGGGATCTAAGTCTTCACACTAAACTATCAGCGACAACAGAAGGATCGACGAAAAGAATACTTGATGAATGTTATATACAAGAAGAACACCGGAGCTTTAGAAAATCTACAAGAGGTAAGTACAAATTCATTTTCTTTTCCTCGATGGTAATATTGATTTAAAAAATTGAATTTTGGAATTAAATTAGTGATTATTTGAATATGCTTTAGTATAAATTCAATTTATTTATTATAAACCTAAATTTTTTGATTTGAAATTTGTCTTCTTAAATGTAAATACTGCTATGACATTGGGTCATGAATTTGATGGATATTTAATTAATAATGTAAACAATTATAATTATTTATGATTAAATTATTATTATCTATGATTAAATTATTATTATCTATGATCAATTGACATATATTTTATGATGTATGATATCTCAAAATTCTTTTTTATTTTTGATAGTTTCAGCGTAAGAAAGACTATGTCAATAAAATATCATTATTTTATTGACTAGTATTTTCTGTTTTCTACGAGAAATATCTAATAATTAGACATAACCTCAACCATGATATTGATTAATTTTTATGATTGTTAAATTTATAATACCCTTTAAAAAAATAAAAAATAAAAATCAAATAGTTAACTATAGGAGTGTAAGAATAACCCATAATATCAAATAATTAGACATGATCTCAACCCATGATATTTATTTTTTTTACCTCGTTCACTAAAAAAAACTATAATTTTATTTGAATTTCCATGATAAAAAAAATAAAGTTAACTATAAACATTAAGATCTAATTCAAATTACATTTGAATTAAAAGTGAGTCAAACCAATCAAATCATATTAATTCAAACACCAATTTCATGATATTCAAAACCGACCACTTGAAATCCAAACAAAAACCTTGTACTTTTATTTCTCATCATATTATTAATTATGTTAAAAGAAAATATTGCATCTATATATCTTTTAGTTTTTATAATTTTAGTTTTTTAATCTTATCGTGGGTAACTTCTTTAAAAACTTCTTTAATTTTTAAAAGTATAGAAAATATAGCGTTTGAAAGAAGATTTTTTCAAAAAATCTTTTTATATTACTTTTCAAAAATATTAATGTCTAAATCAATTCAAATCAATATATTTTTCGGTTTAATTTATTAAAATTATATATATAAAAAAATATTACAATAATCAAACCAATACTAAACTTTTCCAATAATCAAACACACTCATTATGCCCCTAGTTTTGTGTATTATCTTCTTAATATAATTAAAAAGTTTAAATAATCAATAAAATGTTGAAGTAAAAATATTACTTTGACTATCTTTGTGATTAATTAAAATGCATATTCCCCAAAATAATATGGTTAAAGTCATAAAAATGGCATGTAACTCGTGTAAGTAACCAAATTGAATTGTTTTTTTGTGTAACTGAAATTGATAAAAACATGAATTTATGTTTGAATCTGTGCAACACATTAACTATTGTTCAATTAAATTAATTTTCCAAGTCACCGACTATATAAGTCTCTAGTAAATTGAGAAACTTTGTTATATATATACTCATCTAAAATCCCCAAATTAACACTATGCTCAAAGTGTGAAGAAAAAAAGTAAGCAAAACAACAAAAAAAAAAACTTCAAATCTTGCTTAATTTCTGTGAAAATTTGTTTTCTTTCATTATTTAGTTAATTTTATTCTCAAGTAATTTAGCACCTCTCACATGTCTTTGTTGTAACCAATATGTTTCAGAAATCTACTCAAAGCAGCAACTGACATAGACACTTGACACCATTAAAGCCAGGTAAGTTTTCAGCTTATTTTTTAATCGATTTATTTTCAAAAAAGAATTAAATATGCTGACAAAAACAAAAGGTTGAGATTCCTAAACCATGGAAAGACAGCTTAGAATACAATCTCTTATTGGTAGCATGGCTGCACCACTTTGACAAGTGTTGTTCATAACTCTAACCATTTATATGGTTAATTTTTAAACCATGGTTAAATTAAACCATTTCACTTCTCTTACATATTCATTTTATTTATACAAATTTATTTCTCTCTTTTTCTCTTGTTTTGGTAAACAACTTTAGGTAAACCAGATTAGTACTATTATTATTAGCATTGTTTCAAACACTACAAATACAAAAACATGTTATGTTATTATCATAGGAAATCACCAAAAGAGGAAAGAAAGATACAAACTTTGATAACAAATTTGAACAACATTTTTGTGTAATTTCATCTTCAAAGCACACACATTGTGTTGTTTCTTTTTTCAGCATACAAATGAAGAGGTCCCCACCATGTTCAAGCTCTTCATCCTCTTCATCTTGTATTGGATTTGAGAATCCAATTCAGTCAGAGAAAAAAAGGGGTGCTAAGAATGGAAAGAAGAATCTGAATGTGAAGCCACAGAACTTGAAGCAAAAGAGGAACCAGACAGCAAATGGTGGAAGCAGAAGAAGCTCCATTTATAGAGGAGTTACAAGGTTTGAAATTGAATCACTTTTTTTTATTACCCTTTTGAATTTTTATTTCATTTGCATGTGACTTTTTTTGGTTTGATCAAATTAGACATAGGTGGACTGGTAGATTTGAAGCTCATCTTTGGGATAAGAGTTCTTGGAACAACATTCAGAACAAGAAGGGAAAACAAGGTTTTTTTTTTGGGTGAATTTTTTAGTATATATATATTTTTTAAATGAATTATTTTCAAAAATGTTATTAAATAAAAAAAAATATTATTAAAAAATAGAAAAGATAAGTGAGAGAAAATGAAGAGATCTATTATGTTTTGTTTATTATTATTATTATTATTATATTTGTGAGTTTCTAACCATTGTTTTATTGTTTGTAATCTCGGTCCTTCACAATCACTTGCGGATGGTTTAGTTTATTTAGGTAAGTAATTTTTTGATCTAGTCAACATTTTCAATTTTATAAACTAGTATTAGTATTTATTAATTATTATTGATATGTAGTAAGATTCTGATTATGATGTGTTGGACCCAATTATATTATTTTAATTATAATTAATATATTGTTATACTAATTATAATGTTGTTACATAGGTGCTTATGATACCGAAGAAGCAGCAGCTCGTACTTATGATCTTGCAGCACTTAAATATTGGGGAAAGGATGCAACTTTGAATTTCCCGGTAGAATTTTGTTTTGGAAAAGTAAAATAGTGTCAAAGATATAAAGTCTAGTCAAATTAGCCGTTTTAAAGACGATTTTCAAGGCTAATATAATGAAAATGGAATTTGATGTTTGCAGATAGAAAGTTATGGAAAAGAGTTAGAGGAGATGGAGAAAGCATCAAAAGAAGAGTATTTGGCTTCGTTGCGGCGGCAAAGCAGTGGTTTTTCGAGAGGAATTTCTAAATACCGTGGCGTTGCTAGGTTAGTAGGCACATTTTCTATATCAAAAAATCATTTGAATTTCAATTGTTTCATTTAATTCTTTTGAAATTGAATTTGAATAGGCATCACCATAATGGTCGATGGGAAGCTCGCATTGGAAGAGTTTGTGGTAACAAGTATCTCTACTTGGGCACATACAGTAAGTTTCATTTATAATTTAAATCCAATTTTTCTTTATTTAATAAACATGTCACGTGGCATGTGACAATCCATAAGTAGTAAAAGTACTATTTATCCTCTGAAAAGTACTTATTTCCCATCTGTGTCCCATGATCAATACGCACAGAGTTTGTTCTCATTGCTTTTCAAATCCAAGAATTTGATTTTTATTACACACTACAATAGGTTAGGTTCAACCCCTATATGTTTTATTAGTAATTAATAAATTACAACTTGTAAAACTGTGTTCTCATAATTAATTAAGCGAATTAATGAATTGAGTTAAAGCTGAAATTTTAGGGTCCATGTGTGACTTGTGTGGGTTGCATGAACTGTATTTGCAGTACTATTGTCTTCTACTTGCAGAAACATACAGCTAGCTACAAACGTTGTTTTCTCTGTTTTTTATCCTTAAAAATATCTTAAATTACTAGTCTACTTTCTCATTTACTTTTTTCTAACAAATTCTATATTGTTATTTAAAATTATAAAAAGATAATTTGAATATTGTGATTGTACATTATTTCAATTTGTTGGCCTAGTTTAATCTAACATTTGACTATAGATAAACATGTTGGAGAGGGTACAGCAGATCCTTGACTCATGCAGTATCCACAATCTCCTGCCAGCATGTCTCTCAAAAGATATTAAATATATTCTTGTGAAAGGATAATAAAAATTAAATTTTGTTTAATTATTATTATATTATTGTATATTAAAAAAAAGCTTAGATGAAGTTAAAAAGTTAACTAGATCCACAAGATACTAACAACTTTCCCAACAAAATAATCCAGTAGGCACGTGAATACCAATCCAAATCTTGATTCTTCAAATATTGTTTTTAAACATTCTGAGATTTTATCATGTCATAAAGTTAACTTTATGCAATCTTTTTCTTTTCTTTTATGAATTGATTAATGAGGAAGCAAGTTTTACTCATTCATTCTCATTCATATTCATCTTGTCATATAACCCGTTTATCCAAACATGACCTTATATTTACGCAACTAACATGGTGGTGACCGTTGAAACAAGATCAGAATAAAATTTGTATTTTTATTTTAAATTTGGAGTTATCGCTTTGAATTCAGCTATTACCAATGTGCAACTGACATATTGGTTATCAGACTAAGATTTGTAATACTTTTTAAAATTTTGAGTCACGATCTTGATCAAACAGTGATCAATGTGCCTACATTCAATTCAAATTCGTGTTATGTAACAAAATCAACATTTCTATAAAAAAAGACATGTTGTCTATGTTGGACAATGACACAACACTCTCACTTTTGATTTTGTTTTATTTTTTTCAAATTATTTTTGTTGTTCTTGTTTTGTAGAAACTCAAGAGGAAGCGGCAGTGGCGTATGATATGGCAGCAATAGAGTACAGAGGAACAAATGCAGTGACAAATTTCGACATAAGCAACTACATTGACAAATTGAACAAGAAGAACAAAAATGCTGAAAAAGAACAAACAAAGCCACAAACAACAATCACAAGAACAACAGAAATTGTTCCTAGTAACTCCTCTGATTCGGAAGAAACATCACAAGAACAAACACCAATAGCTACACCTCCGACCCCACCACCACCAGAAAATCTACAAAAAACCGAAACTTTTCAGCAGCAACAACAACAACAAGACGTTCCTCCAATTGTTCAAGAACACACATTAGTAAACGTGATGGACATTTATCTTGACCAAGACCTACCATGGAGTTACATGTACAACGGTTTATTAGAGTTTCAAGACACAAACATGTCATTCAGCAACGGTGAAGATTTGATTGATATATTTGACGGCACAGGATTTGTGGAAGACATTGGTTTAATGTTCAACACAGAAGAGCCTTGTGTTGTCGGTGAAAGTGATATCAATATCAGTCAAGTTTTGGAGGGAATTGATTTATTAAACGGAAATGCTGAAAACATGGTTGTGGATAATAATGACAATAACATTAACAAGGACAAGGAAATATTGTCCTTAGAATCATCATCTTCAACAACTACTACAGTTTCTTTGTAACTAATCTATTCGAATTTGATGATGATGACAAGGTGCTGTTGGATTAATTGTTTGGTTTGTTTAGAAATTCTTGTGATTGGTGGTGGATGAATGTGAAGATTGGGTGATTTGTGAAGTGGTTTTAGATTTTTATTACTGTGTTTCATTTTAGGCTTGGATTTTAGTGGGATACCATAAAGGATCATAAACCAAAATTAAGTTTTTTTTTTCTTCTTGTTTTGGCAAACTAGTTTGTTCTTTTGTGTTTCTCCATTGGATTAGGAGATAGAGTAATAGAGTAATGGAACAATTAAAAATATGTTTTGTTTTTGTAGAAATAATGGGCTAAGAATAAATACATTTTGACATCTTTAATTGTATTTGTTTTTTTTTTTGTGTCTCACCCTTTTAATCTTAAGGAGGTTTGTTTCAAGAATTTTAAAAACGATTTTTATGTATAAGTTACTCGATAATAAAAATATAAGGATTTTGTTTTTGGTTATTTTTAAATAAATGTTTAGTAAATAATTTGAGATTTTTAAAATAATTTAATTGAAATAGTGTAAAATGATTGTACGGAATTAAATTGAGTCAGTTTGGATCCAGAAATTTTAATTAATGGGGTCAAGTTTTATTTTTTTTAATACAAAAATAAAAATCAAATAATATAAATATTTATAAAAAATATAAATATTTATGCATAAAATGATAATGATAATATTAAAATGATTAGAAAAACCTATATAAATACAATTTACTTGTGTCTTTTTAATTTTCATTTTTTTAAAAAAAATAATAAAAAAAATTAATAATCAGATTTATGGTTTCTAGAATTCAAATTAAATGAGTAGTATGGGGACAATGATACATTTAACGTGGGGTCAATATTCTAAAATTAATTATTATTGGTTTTAAAACAAAAAATTAAGTGGGGTCACTTGATCCCATTCTACACCAAGTGGATCCGTCCATGGTCAGTTTCTTTTAACTTTAAGGAAATAAATTTTTTATTTGTATTTTTGAAAATGGATTTTACAAAAAAAATTTAAAAAAAATATTATAAGTTTTTCTAAATTTGTATTTTAATAAATTAAAAGGTAAATTTTGACATACTATAACATAAATGTACATTGTTGAAGATTAAAACATATTTAAAATCACAATTTTTAAAAAAAGTTGTATCTCAAAAATGATTTTTATGAAAACTATTTGAAATAGCTTCAAAATTAAGTGATTTTTTGAAACTTTGACATCCAAATAGAGTTTTGATAAAATGATGAAATACATAAAATTATTAGAATATTAATAGTAATTCATATTTATTTAGTTGTACTATTTTCTTAGCCCTTAAGTTTGTTAGAGGGTATTTTAGTATTTTATATTATTCTAGTAACCCTAGTTTTAGCTTATAAATAGGGTGACAATCATTATAACTTTTATCATGTTTTTTGTAGCCGTCATTCTTAATAGAATATTTCTTTTCTTTGTTCATCATTTATTCACCTTTGCACCAACAATTGGTATCTAGAGCTCCGGTTCAGATTCATTGGGAAACACGAGTGAACGTGAGGTCTTGTGTGTTTGATTTTGATTCTTAGATTCGTGTTGAATCTTGAACAAAATCTGATCAGAATTTTAATTTTGTGGGTTGGGAAACACTGTGTGAGAAATCTGAGTGTATTGTGCAAGGTAGAAGATGAACGGAAACAACAACATGAACACCAAGCTTCCAGTATTTGACGGTAAAAACTGGAATCGTTGGATGATCCAAATGCGTGTACTGTTTGGTGCCCAAGATGTTTTAGATCTTGTCACTGATGGTTATGTTCCGGTAGCAGCAGATGCAACGGATGAACAGAAAAACGCGCAGAAGGAAGTAAGGAAGAAGGATCAGAAAGCATTATTCTTTATTCATCAATGTGTTGATGTAAATGTGTTTGAGAAGATTGCAGATTCAACGACAGCAAAGGCTGCGTGGGACACACTGGTTAGATGTTATGGTGGTGACGCATCAGTGAAGAAGGTGAAGCTTCAGTCCTTGAGAAAGCAATATGAGAATCTCAACATGAAGAATAATGAGAAAGTTTCTGAATACATCTCCAGAGTGATTCTGATCACTAATGAGATGAAGGCGTGTGGAGAAACTCTTTCTGAAGAAACAATCATGGAGAAGGTATTGAGATCCCTTACTCCTCAATTTGATTACATTGTGGTAGCAATAGAACATTCCAAAGATCTGAGCACCATGAGAATTGAAGAGCTGCAGAGCAGTCTAGAAGCGCAAGAGTTGCGTTTGACTGAGAGAACTTCTGAAAATGAAGTAGAGCATCAGGCTCTGAAAGCAACTTCTGATAGGAGGTATCAGAAGCAGTCAGAAGCCAAGAGAAGATCTGATGGTGGTCAGAAGTCAGAAAGCTCAATCTCTGATAGGCAAAAGAATGCTCAGAAAGGAAAAGAGAAGTATGACAAGAAGAAGATCCAATGTTACTGTTGTAAGAAGTTTGGTCACTTTGCTAGAGATTGTTGGTCAAACAAGGAGAAGAAATCAGAAGAAGCAAATATAGCCAGAAGTTCTGATGACGAATCTGTGCTATTGATGGCCTCTGAATCTGATGATCTGACAGACTGGTGGTATATGGACACTGGTTGTTCAAATCATCTTACTGGAAACAAGAAATGGTTGGTTGACTTTGACTCTGAAAAGAGAACAAAGATCAGATGTGCTGATGACAAATATCTTAATGCAGAAGGTATGGGAAATGTCAGAGTGATTCTGAACAATGGGAAAATAGCATTGATTCAGAACGTGTGGTATGTACCTGGCATCAGAAGCAATCTGATGAGTGTGGGACAATTAATTGAGAAAGGTTTTTCAGTTACCATGAAGGATAATCTTCTGAAGCTGTATGACTGCAATCAGAAGTTGATTATGGAGTCAGAACAAGGAAGAAATAGAACATTCAAGGTGAATGTCAGAACTGCAGACTCAGAATGTCTTAGTGCAACATGTGCTGAGAAGGAGAGTGAGCTGTGGCACAGAAGATTTGGTCATTTGAATTTCAGAAGCTTAAAACATCTGAATTCAAAGAAGTTGGTACATGGAATTCCTGCAATTAAGAAGCTTGAAAAATCATGCAAAGTTTGTATGGAAGGAAAACAACCACGATTGTCATTTGCGTCAGAAGCTGCTCCAAGAGCAAAACATGCCTTGGGAGTTGTACATTCTGATGTGTGTGGTCCATTTCCAGTAGCATCAATTGGAGGGAATAAATACTTTGTGTTATTTGTTGATGAATTCACAAGAATGACATGGGTATCCCTTATTAAGTTCAAACACGAGGTGATTGATGAATTCAAGAAGTTCAGAATGAAGGCTGAGAATCAGAGTGGTCAGAAATTGAAGATTCTTAGAACTGATGGTGGAGGTGAGTATAACTCCAAAGAGTTCCAGAATTTCTATGAGGAGAATGGAATTGAGCATGAGGTTACTTCTCCTTATACCCCTCAACACAATGGTCTTGCTGAAAGAAGAAATCGTACTTTGCTTGATATGGTGAGAAGCATGCTAAAGGAGAAAAAGCTTCCTCAGAAGCTCTAGGGAGAAGCTGTTGCCACTGCAACGTATGTACTCAACAGATGTCCTACGAAGAAGTTGAAGGAAATAGTTCCAATACAGAAGTGGACTGGAGATAAGAAAAGTGTTAGTCATCTGAAGGTGTTTGGTTCTGTTTGCTATAAACATGTTCCAGAAGCCAGAAGACAGAAGCTGGATGATAGAAGCAAAGTGATGATTCTGATAGGATACCACAGTACAGGTGCATACAAGCTCTATTGTCCAGAAACCAATAAAATTGAATTCAGCAGAGATGTGATTGTGAAGGAATCAGAAGTTTGGAATTGGGATAAGTCTCAATCTGATTCTGATGTTAGAACCTCTGAAGAAAGGCCAGAGTTAAGAATTTCTGAAGTTGGAGTAAACCCTGATGTTGACTCTGACTCTGATACTGATTCAAACTCTGAAGATGACTCAGAAGATGAAGGTTGTCGCTACTCGAAAAATGCATCGTGCAACGACGGGGAGGCGAAAAAGATAGACAGAAGAGTCGCCACCGAACTTTATTTATTCCATGAGGGGAAAGGAAAATATCGAGAAAACCTTAAGAAAGAAATGGATAAGATGGTCTCGCGACCAAGAATGGGTTCGGAAGCCGGTTATGCGAGGGGAAGGTATTAGCACCCCTCGCATCCATCGTACTCGATGGGAACCTTTTGTTTGTCGATGTGCTAAAATGTTACGCTATAAAAGAGTGTTTCAAAGGGTAAAGGGAAAGGTTTAGAAACGAGAGAGAGAGGTAACGAGGGAGAAGGGAGATAGGACGGACTCGGTAGGACTTCGCGGTCCTAGGCCTACGTATTCTCAACGGATGTGAGAAAGTCAGAGTCGACGTAGTTCGGGAAACTACAGATATGGGGGAATGTGCTCGGCAAGGATTGTGGCCCTTGTGCCTACGTATCTTTACTTGAAAAAGTAAAGAATCAGAGCAGCCGTAGTTCGGCCTACGGTGTGTTGATGTTTTTTATGGATGATGCTATCGTGCACGTTCTAGCAGTTAGGTGTTTTGCTGCTCGCTCGTTGGAGACTTAGGCGTACCTGTTTGCGGTAGAACGGACGTAACATATCCCTTTTTGAAATGATTAGATTTTCGCCACGCGAGGCAAAGATGTCACGTTTGATTTGTTGAATTGTTTTTAGGGGGCGAGACATGTCCTCGGATAGTAACCCCTACGGGTAGTACCCAATTCTTTGTCTCAAAGTTTTTGTTTATGAAAAGGTGTGGCGAACGAGGCGTCTTCGTATTGAAAGACGAGTGTCGAAACCACCCTCACTACAGTGGGCATCCCTACGCTCGGGGAAGAAGAGGTCTACACCCAATCCTCTCTCTTTAATTCAATGCAAAGAGAACGAAGTTCTCTTATTAAAGATGTTTTTTGGTTTTGAATGGTAAGTGCTTTGCGACGGA